CCCCAGGAGGGTGTCCCCTTTCTTACCCAGCAGCAGCACCAGTGTGATGTCTCCCTGGCACTGGGGACAGGCCCCCTTTGACACCCAGCAGCTCTTGTGGGGGTGGCCCAGCAGTGACATCCCCCTGCCTGGCTCTCCCAGGGGGGAAAGGGACAAAACTCTGTCCCTACGGGCTGCCCCTCATCCCACAGGGTGACCCAGGGTGCTGTGACAGCCCTGCCACGTGTCCCACCCCTGGTCCCCTCCTGAAATGGGGGATGTGAGCCCAGGAGGGGCAGCGTGGGCAGGGGACCCCTCGTTCCTCTGAGAGGGGTCAGGAGTGTGGGGGGATGAGCTCAGTTTTGGGGAGCACCCCGTCGGCTGAGGAGGGGGGATTCCTGTGGGATTTGGGGGTGGGCTTGGATCCAGCAGGAGGGGTGGATTTGGGGGCCCCTGCTCTCAGAGGAGCTGCCTCGGGGTGCACAGGGGCCTTTCCCAGTGCTGCTGACTGGGAGCTGAGTGGGAATCCCAAGCTGCCCCTTCCCGGGTGGGCAGGCAAAGGCACAGCCCAGATCAGCCTGGATCAATGTTGGGCAGGTTTTCCATGTTGGGTCCTCGAGGTCTGGGTGGAAATGAAGATTTTAATTTCATTTCATTTTATTATTTATTTCATTTTATTTTATTTCTGCCAGTCAGTGACTCGAGGGAGCACGGGGTGAGAATTAAAAGGGAGGGAAACACCCCCTGTGTCTCTGTGTGTCTGTGTCTTTCTCAAGTCCTTTCTAATGACAGCTGAAATTCTGGAAAATAGATTTATCTATATAATAAAAATAAAAATGCTTTTTTTTGGGGGGGGGGAAAAGATGAGCTTGCTCTGGGGGAGGAGGGAGTTGGCAGGGTGTGAGGGGTCTCAGCACAGCCCTTCCCCAGAACCTGTAAAGCACCTTGTGCCTGGGCCATGTTTCTGCCAGAGGGAAGACAGCTCATCTCCTGGGGTTTCCTGCTTTCTAGAAGGTTTCTATGGATTATTCAGGTTTCTTGGGGTCAGCAGCTGCTGGGGCATCAGTGGTGGGTTGCTCTGCTGACATCCTCCACTCCTGGACTCTGCTGGGACACCATGGGCAGGGAGGAGGCAGCAGCATGTGCCAAATTTGGAAAATAAAGTGTTTTTTTTCCCCACCCAAGACTACTGTGAAATATGACTTTTGCCACCTTTCCCTCATCCTTCCCTGGGGGACTGGCTCCTCCTTGTGCACCTCCCTCTGCATCATTCAGCTCTCCTGGCACTGCCCTGGAGCTTCTCACCTCTCCTTGCACAAGCCATGAGCCTCCTCCTGGATCATCCCTTCCCTCTGGGCTGGGCTGTCCGGCTCCACTCCATGGGATTTCTCCTCGGAGGGCTTGGTCCTTGCTGTCATCCCCAAACCTGCTGAAGGTGGAGACTCCAAGGCAGGGGCAGCACCAGGTGATTCCCAGGATTTGCAGATGCCCCTCACATGGTTGATTCCCTCCAGGATCAGCTGCGAGTCCCTGCTCAGCTCAGACAAACCTCTGTCACCCCCTCAGTGTCCCCGCTGGTCAGTCGGGGTGTGGTGACACCCCGGGGCAGGAGGGGGGCTGGGCCCCCATGGGGGGTGTGCAGCCAGGTCTGGGTGTGGCCTCAGGGTGTTATTTGGGCTCAGGGCCACCTGCCCAAACCTGTCCTCTGTCCTGCTGCTGTCCTGGAGGCCAAGGGGCTGTGCTGGGGCAGCGGGACGGGTGTGGGGTGGTGGGCCATGGTGGTCCACACTGGGGGCAGTGACGGTCCATGCTGGGGACACTGGGACACGCTGGGGTGGTGGTCCCTGCTGGGCCAGTGGTCTGTGGTGGTCCCTGCTGGGCAGTGCTGAGCCGGAGGGCCACAGAGCAAGGAACCCAGAATGTTCCTCTGCCTGCAGCCGGGGGGCCCTGGGGGTGCTCGGGTGGGTGCTCAGCAGCAGGACGGGGCTGTGCTGCCATCCCCAGTGTCAGCCTGGGCTCCTCAGCCCGGGGCAGTGGGTCCAGGGATGTGTCAAACCCGG